TGAGATACAATATGAGTGAGAGAGAGAGGAGTGTTTATTGAAGCAGAGCTAAAGACGGAGTGTGTACATACATAATAGATTCATACATAGGTATGTAAGTACCTAACACTACCCTCTCAGGAAAAAATTTTTCTCCTGAAAAATATTCGGAAAGAGTAGTTAGGTTTATCGAATTGAAATTTGGAAAGTAACAATTTGAATAATAAGTTTGAGTTTGCACAGATAAAAGTTTCATGGAAAAATGAAATAAGAAATGACTCCAGAAAACATACATGAAAAATAGATTTTTGCATAATTAACACGTTGAATAATTGAATACATTGAATGACGTCATAATTATGGCAGGCTGGAACTTGAGAAGATGGGAGGCTCGCAATCGGTGGTAGAATTGTGTCGTCTCAGGCGTGGTGGTGGTGGTGGATATATATAAAACTTGACGAGTTGACAAACGGTTGAACAAAGAAAAATACATTTTAATGGTTTTCATATGTGGTCCATCAGGGAAATTGCAGCGAAGTGACAAGTGGGATACGCACACTTGTATGAGAGTGGGGTTTTGAGAGGCTGACCCATAACCGTGAAACTCGAAGACGTAGGGGTTTTCTGTGGCTGACCCGTAACCTTAACTCTTTAAATGAGGGAACTATATACAATGTGGATTGCAAATATTATGTAGACGTTGCTCACAAACATTAATCTGACAGGCGTTACATTTCATTCTGAGCCTGGGAAAGTGGTGACAACGCAGATCGAGCATCAAAGTTCAGCAGAATTTTGAGACAAAGTGCATCAGATTACAATTTTGCAAAAAAAGTTGATACGGAATGGGAACAATTGTCTAGACGAAATGCATACAAATGACTTTTTCGCATACATTTTTCAGAAAATTTCAGAAAATATGACAGGATTTTGATGGAAATTTTCAAAAATTAAATTGATTTTTTTTACAAATTTGAAGGTCGATTTTACACAAATTTCTCTTGGTGTGTAAAAATGCAGTGAAAATTTGACATAATTTCAACAGATATTTGCTCGACTTTTTTAAAACTGGAAATTTGGTAATTTCAAGAAGATTTTCAGGGTGGTTCAGAACCAATTTACAGACCTGATAGCATCCGGGAGGATAATCCATTACAGACCGGATGACGAAAATTCACACACAAAAAGACACAAAAGTTTCACAGGAAATACACACAGTTTTTTTTTTGAGAAGTTTGGGGAAGTTTCCCTATCTGAAGCAAAATGGCAAGCTCTAGTGGACGGTGGCCAAATTGCTTCGTCGGCGTACAAATTTTTGAGGGGGTGGTGATGAGGCGAATAATGTCAAAAAATTTAAAATCCATGTTGAGTGGGAGAAGCGAGAGAAAGTACTCTGTAAGGTTCACCAATGTTATGTATGTGGAATTATACATAAATGAGATGAGATACAATATGAGTGAGAGAGAGAAGAGTGTTTATTGAAGCAGAGCTAAAGACGGAGTGTGTACATACATAATAGATTTATACATAGGTATGTAAGTACCTAACAGTATCCTACTTAGCATTGATCTAATTAATCACTATTGCCTGCCCATTGAACATAAATGTCCACCAAATCTTTGACAGAATGAGATTAGATTGATGTCCACATGCGTAACCGAGTCCAACACAGATTATTAAATATTTCACAACAAAACATTTGTTTGAAGTAGAAGGAGTACATAAATTTATTTGGATGTAAATACTTATGTATTCGTTGAGATACTACCTTAAAAATAATTTGCAAATTTTATATCGCTAATTGATAATTTGGTAAGTATTGCTTGCAGTGACGGTTGCGGGGGCCTTACTACGCAATTGTAGTTGAGCTTACAAGGGAAGGTCCTCGACTGCTTATCGTGTCCAGGGTACCCACTATGTTTTTTAGAATCTACTAGGACCCTAGACGAAGGATCCATTCATGCTTCCGTGTTAATCGCATATTTGGCGCCATGGCATGGCGCCAAACTTAAAAATCTGCGTTTTCGACCAATTTCAAACCTCCATAACTTATCTAGTTTCCGGGGGATTTTCAAAATCTTGGGCTTAAAATGATCCCAAAGGTCAAAATTTTAAGAAATTAATGAAAAATGAAAAAATTTTATTTTTTTGGTATTTTTTTGGCGAATCCCCAAGCGTAAGAAAATTCCAAAATTTTGACAAAAATTCAAACAATAAATTGTTTGAAAAATTTCATGGCATACGAAGGTTGAACTCTTTGTAATGGTTTTTGGAAATTTTTTTGAAAATCCGCCAAGGATTTCAAAAGTTATGGCGGTTTCAAAAATAAAAACGTACAAATTTGGCGAATTTGGCGCCACGCCATGGCGCCAAATATGCGATTAACACGGAAATATGAATGGATCCTTCGTCTGGGGTCCTAGTAGATTCTAAAAAACATAGTGGGTACCCTGGACACGATAAGCAGTCGGGGACCTTCCCTTGTTAGACCACAAACACGGTTTTGAACCTACGTAAATTTATCGCCAATTAGTGTATAGAACCAAATTTTTTGATATTTAAGACAACATCGTCTACAATGTGCGTGCAAAATTTCGTATTCTACACCATATTCATAGGATTTAAAAGGGCACAACAACGGTCAAAATAGTGCGAGATCATCAAAATTACACTCTTCAAATCCTCAACATTGCTGACGGTAGTATTTCTATGAAAATGTGGTCATACCTGTTTACACACCTAACAATAAATTAACCGTGTGTGTCGTAAGTTCCTCGTAATATTTTATTCTTATGGATCTCTCTAACTTAATTAGTGTAAAATTTCCCACCCCACCTCGAATTTGAAGGATTCGCAATGATTTGATACTTTTACGAAAAATCTTCCCTTCAAGTTGACCATTAACGATGCAATTTGTCCACGTTCTTAACAAGTTTTCCGATCTCTCCTGAACATATAGCGCAATGTTGAACGAAACGTGGATAAAGATCACGGTGACGAAAAAGATACCCGGGAAGAACTCGTGGACAGGGAAGTGGGATCGCATCTTGATCGAGATGTATGCCATGAAGGGCGCCAAAAATAGCCCGATCGTCATTGCCGCTACGACGCAGAATTCGGCAAAGAATTTCAGCTCGCCATAAATTAGGCGTAGTGTGGCGTAAACGATGAGGGAAGATTTAACCTCTTTTCGTTTTTTAACGCATACCGCCAATTCCTCCAAAATGGCGCCCAGTGTAGTCATAAAGGATAAACAGAGAAAGAATATGAGCGGATATTGACGCAGACATTCAAATGCTGATGCCGTAATTATATAACTGCGGACAATTTGAGAAGGCCAATATAGTAGTGGTGGTAGATGCGAAATATGGATTATGTAACCAATTGCGTCCAGATTTAGGAAAAGATTGCATGGAACGAGGATGAAGAAGTTGACATAAAATTGGTACAGGACGAGAGTCATGATTTGCCATAGGTTGTAGAATCGTATCCCCTGAGATGTGGGGTTATCGCCTGCAAAGAGTTACAATAGTCTTCTGATTTTTGGGAGATTATTTGTGATTTCAATTTGCACTGTGGCTCTTGTTATTTATTGAGAATTTACTGGGTAATTTGAGTACTTTGGTTTATTGTGATTTTTACAGTCGCTGTCTTGCAGCGAATATGTTAACTAAGTAATACCGCTATATGGCGACTCTTAAAATCACAATTAACCACAGAAACTGGATTTCGTAAATCCCAATTTTTCAAACTGCCGGTGGGTTTAGCCGGTTTTAAACCACTGACCAGCACTAACGAGTACATGTCGGTTTTTACCTGTTTACGCTATGGCATAAACTGGTTTCAGATAATATCAGTTTAAACCGGTATTTACCAATTTATGTGAGTTAGTTTACGCCACTGGTTAATACCATCCGAAACCTTGCACACAGAACACAAAAATCACATATCACAAAAACCTAAAACTCTATGATTTTGTACACAGAACTTACCCTTCGTTTGTCCAAGCTCCTTTTTAAGACAGAATAGGGCTTCCCAACCGTTCACAAAACTCCGACCGTACGCCGCCAATGCCAAACTTGTTGTTGCCGTCATTGTCGCCAGAGCCACAGTCAGTAGCTGCAAAAGCACGACGTGCAACGGTACGGGATCTGCTTCCTTGTTGAGCAGAATATTTAACAAAACCGCGAAGGCAGACAAACCCCACAACCCAACCATTACGATCGAGTTGTAATACCAGAGCAGAGTAAGTTTCAGATTCGTCTGGTAGATCCATTTTTGAGTAGAAATATCCCACTGGATGACAGGATTAGCGATAATTTGCATTAATTTAGCGTACGTGTCGAAAGCCTTTCGCATTCTTCGAAGATCAGAATCCATAGCGAAGTTTATTCCGTGTTCGGGGTAAAATGTCGACTGAAGATAGAGAAGGCGGAAAATTTCGCAAGTAGTTTTTAATCGTTTAGTACGTAGAATTAATCGATACGCTCTAAATCTGTTTAAAAAGTAATTTTCCAAATTGGTTATTTATGGTTGGGCCGAAATAATTTTTATTATTGACATTATAAAACTAGGACATTAAATTCTGGAATGATATGAGCTTGGATAAACAATTTATTACGATACAAGCAATACAATCGAAGTATTATCGTCAGATAAATAATATTGAGAAATCAGAATTAAAGTCGGTACTAAATAAATTAACGAATGTTTAATCAAGTTTATGATTGGATTTCTTAAGGTTATTAATAAACTTTACCGACGACGGAATGAGGGTGATATTCATGTCACCATCCTGCTTCATGGTTTCTGCAGCTTTTTAAATACAATTAAGACCTTCAGAGATTTGAAAATTTTAAAGAAATTCAAAAGAAAGAGAGTTGAATCCAAATTCAAAAATGGTTAAGACTACGCGTAATTTGAGATTTATTTGTTTAACACCACTTAATTTTTCTCAACAATTTTTAAAAATAATCTCTTGGAATATTGTTCATCTACATATCGTCGACTTAATTTAATGGGGAGAATCCAGAAACTTCTTGATTCCGATATCATTATCGTGTTCCACGAATGTAAAAATAATGCACTCTAAATAAAAGTTGAGTAAAATTTACCCAACCATTGTGTAAATTTTGCCAAATTATTGTGTCATCCTCTTTTTTACTCAACCTTGTGTAAATTTAGCACAACTCTTATCTAGAGTGTGCTGACGTTTCACAGGTTACCCAACAATCAAAATATTTGCGATAGGAGTTCAGCTTACGTCATATTACGTAAAAGATTAATTAATGAGAGCAGATAGAAACGTCCCTATCTCTGGATTTGTGATAATCCTTAACTAAATCCTCACTTTAACATTCCCATCCCAGCAGAAAAATTTACCTTGATTGTGCATAGCCAAAGTTATCATACAATAAATTTTTAAACGTTCCGAGAAAGATTAACGAAATATTCCATGGGTCGAGGGTCTCTGCGTAAATTTGGTCATTCTAGATTCCCAAAAATTTTACCTTTTGCCATCAATCACAAAGAAATTCCTCATATCCCTCTTCAGTTCGTTATGTAATGTATGGGCATTCCACCATAAATTCGCCATTATTCAACTAGTCAGTATCGAGTCACTGAGCTGTTTCTGATTAATCATTATAATCAAGCAAATGTGAGAAAATAAATCTGATAACTGACATTTCACACACGTTATACTGAGTAGTTGCCTTTTCCAGGTCCTCCGATCCGGTCGATTAGAGGAGAGAGTCGCGTACAAAAATAATTTCAAGGTTTAATTATCCTTCGCAACAACTATGTTACCAATAGTTGGACTAACTGTGGGTTTTATTTCCACATTAATCGGGCTCACCACTGGTGCCATGTACGATGGGCACAGCATGCTTAGAGTCACACCACAGACCAAGCGACAAGAAGATCATTTAAGGGACCTGAGTAAACACCAAGGGGTATGGGCACTCTAAATAATTTGGTAATAACACTATTACCATGAGGAGACAGTATAAGTGCCTGCGTAACGACATTGAGTCATCGGCGATGACTCATCGCCTTGTAATTGTCTTATTACCTGAATAATTACATACAATGAACAACGTATATATACAAAAATGGTGTCAAATTTTCCAAAAGACTAAACATTGCCCGCTTTTCTATGTGTCCATAATCAATTTTCTTTTGTTTTGACCTTTAAGAATATAACGAAAGTAATAATTTCAAATCAAAATAATTATTAATCAATTCTGTTCTATTTTTACTTTTAAGGTATCATTTATTGGAGGTGATCCTCTTGTTGGGGATCATTCCCATGTAATTGCTTCCCCACAAGTGTTGGATTTTGTGTTGGAATCTTTGAAAAAATTCGAAACTGAGCATCTTTTAACTAATCCTGATGTAGGAAGGTAAGGCCGCTTTTAAAATGGGATTCATTTTCTAATTTTATTTTCTAATTTTTCTAATTTCTAATTTTCTAATTTCACTTTCTAATTCTAATATTTCTAATCATCATTTTCTAATTTTAGAAAATTGTTTGAGATTTCCCCAGATTTTTCCCTCATTTTTATTCCCCCGCAACCCTCGTCTTAAATTTCCTACATTACCAGGAAATCCATACCCTCGAAATACTCTCAACTTTTCTGCAACCAATCCATGTTATTTTTTCAAATAATTTATTGAAGGCAGACAAATTTGTATACCTAACCAAATCGAACAATTTTATCAAGAACAGTTATTCCTTTGCCTCATAAATACTTTTAAAAAAATAGGTCAATCCGTTCTCAAAAGGTCATGACTAGAATGAATGGAGATATCAGTTGGGACGCATACTACGATTTGGACTCGGTTAATAAACTTACATATTTATCTATTCAATTCCATTCAAATCTCACCAACTGATTTTCCCGCTAATTCTATTTTTGAATAGATCAACCAATACCTGACCGTTCAAAGTGTCGGACATCCTGACCTCGTGACCCTCACAACGATCGGAAAATCGTTCGAGGGAAGGGACTTATTTCTCCTCAAAATTAACAAGGGCAGCACCACGAAACCAATTATATGGATTGATTCTAATATTGTAAGAATATTACTACCGCCATTTTTAAGCTAATTATTTCTTCAAATGGAACCTTATTTTAGCATGCCCGAGAATGGATTTCATCCGCGGTCGGGCTCTATTTAATCGATCAACTCCTGAATAGCCCAGATATTGAGATTCAAGCTTACTTGGACGATTTTAATTTTCACATTTTACCCATGGCTAACCCGGACGGATTCGTTTTCTCTCATTTAACCGTATAAATTCAAATGAATGTCGAGGGAGACCTATTTAGTTTTTTTTAGTTAAAGCGCATAATCTCTTAAAATGGAGTAATCTCGCAAACGCAATTTCCGACTCGCAGCCTATCAAGTTACCTTTCACATTACTCGCTTAATTTTGATTAGTTTAAACAAATTTACTTCAAATTAGTTCAACTTTATGCGCTTAAAACAAAAAATACTGGATTGCCCCCCCCCCACCTATTTGCTAACCCTTTACTGCATTGGCCGCGGATGGCGACCTTTGTTCATGTCCCAGAATCTCCCCACATAGGCAAGAACTATCCACGTCATACCCTAAAATACTAAAGCCCTCCCCCCCGACCTTCTGAGGCCACATTTCACAACAACAAATATCTAATTCCATTATTATTCCTAAGTAGGACAGATTTTGGAGGAAGACCCGATCAAACACTTCTGCCACGGCAATAAATGGATGCCGTGGCGTAGATCCGAATAGAAATTTCGACGCCTACTGGCTAGGTAAGGTTCAACAAAGACTTTGTTTTTCTTACCCCTGCGAGTTTTCTGCATATTTTTCCTCTCCAAATTTTTTAATTAGTTCCGACAAGAAGGTCACAATGTAGCGGACATAGTATAAAATAGTATTAAAAAATTGGAAATTTTAGTAAATTTTAGTAGTTTTCAAAACTTCAACCTTTCTACTGATAATTAACCGATTCGCAGGTTATTGCTTTTGAGCAAGCGTCCATTTTATGGGGGCTAACTCTCTCTATAACTTGAACGCCAATTAGTATCTATTTTCTATTTTTCAGAAAACGATGGGGGTTCTAAAGACCCCTGCGACCTTTATTTCGCTGGAGACGCCGTTTTCACAGAGTTGGAATGCATCGCAATTGCGCAATATTTAGACTCCATCCGTGCCAACCTTATTGCTTACATAAGTCTGCACAGCTGGGGGCAAAACGTTTTAATTCCGACGGGACGAGACTCTACGCAAATACCGGAATATAATGAATACGTACGTGCGTATTCCGCCGTTTGTAAATTGTCTAACTCAAAATTTTACCCTATTCGATAGATTTAAAGTCAAAATCACCCTCTACAAATTTATATAAAATGCTCCTTCCGTTACCTAATTTATGGACAGGCGTTAACAAAAATTTTACCCAATTCTGCCACAACAAATACCAACGAACATAAATATTTTATTAATCTAGATTAGAATAGCAAACTTGGCCGCGGCAGCCCATCAAATCCCACATGGCATGGTTTACACAACCGGAAGTGTGTTCGATGTTTGGCGTATGCTTTTACAATCATTTCGTCCAGTAAATTTCACGATTTATAATTGTCTTTGAATATTTGTTTCTAGACCCGGCCCCAGGGACCAGTATGGATTGGGCGTACTTGAATTTTCCATCCGCCAAGATACATCTGACCTATGAATTCAGGGACAAAGGGCAATACACCGTCCTTTTACCCGCAGATCAAATTTTGCCGCAATGTGAAGAATTCATGGCAGGGATCAAGGTCATTTTCGACGAGCTTAAATAAATTCCATGTAAAAATTCATGAAATAAATTATTACGACTTGAGCGAAGCGGTGATAAACTATTGACTTAAACTAGCTATTATGTATTTACGTATAATAAACTATTTTCGCTTCAAATTTTTTTACTACGTTGAATAGTTTGAATAGTTGAGGGTAAAGCTAATGAGAACAAAAAAAACACCCGCTACCAGAACTTTCAGGCCGAATTTCGGGATCGCTACTGAAGGTGTATCCGATTTTCTTCCCGTCCTGTATCGGGCATTATGCTGGCTCAATTTTGGATATAACTCGATAATCGATTCGTCGGTCCAAAGGTCATGGTTTCTTTATTCTTCACCGAGTATTTTTTCACTCAAATTGCCAGTTTTTTGAAGAATTTCTCCAAATTTCAGCCGATCTCCAGATTTTTTTGCGACATATGAGGTTTTCTGGTTAGTCTGTAAGCTGTGTGAGCCCACCTTGTTGATTTCACAAATTTTTGAACCGTAATATAGCTAATCTCCTTCCCCTTCTGTTTGTACCGATTTGAATCATTCAGCTCCCGTGCATATTTACGCAGTGAACTCCCGGTTTTCTTGTGAAGTTGGTGCTTAATCATTGTTTTTGTTTTAGGCGACAGCTTTCTGCGTCGCCTTAGTTGTTTTTTGTTTTCGATAACATTTTTGTTCTTCCATTTCCAGACAGTCTGTGAGTCACATCCTAATTCACACATTCCAAAGTAACAGCTGAGTTTGTATTTAAAAAAATCCAAAAAAATCATCGGGACCTGCAAGTGTGACACCCTGTAAAGGTGTAGATGTATGCATGCAATTTAATTTATGTCTACATGTTTATTGCGCGTAATGCTGGTTGGTGGCCATAGTGTGAGCGCCAATATGCGAATTATTTATTAACGTTGTGGAATAACTGAAATGCAGAAAATTAAAATTTCCTGCAATTGTACGTAATCTGTTTCCACAGCAATATCGTGACATTTCCTCACTATAGCTTTGCTCCACGACCCAACCCTCATTCATGAAACCATTAGATCAACATGCTCCAGAATTATGTATTTATGATAAATGTCAATGCCAATCGTTCGAGCGCAATTAAATAGCTCACCCAGTATGGCTATCAAGCAACTCATTTTGATGAATGCCTCACTGCAATTGTAAAATGTCCATTAGAATTCCCAATATTTATTCTAAAATTTGTATTGCCCCGCATACAATTTATTTCAGATTAGGTAACCTAATCTGAATTTTTCAGGAATTAAAAATATTTAATTACAGAACAGACTTATCTAAGAATGATGATTTGTGTAAATGTAATTAATGCAAAATTAAATTTTGTGTACGATTATCCAGCAAGGTGTATGAAGTGTTTCATCATTATCGTTTTGCTTATGGCGTTAAATTGCAGAGCCTGACCACATGCATATGCACACCTAATGCTCATGTGGCAGGGATTCATCCATTTTGTTCCCAAATTTAACCATTTTTTCCACCAAATATGTTGCCATCACATTGCATCTCAATACAGCAGGATGTAACCCGTTATTATTGAGCTGGGCATTCTTCAACCAGTCCAGAATCGCTTGTAAATCCTTCGTAAACTGGGACCCGTCCTTGGATTTTTCCAACTTTTCCTTCTTCCCGTCCTTATCAGGGTCCGGATACACTATCCCCTTCAACTTGAGCTCCTTCGTGAATTGATACACGGTCCAAATCATGACAAAGTAGGAAATATATGTGAACAAGGTCAGGGCCGTGAGGGCGGTAGAAAGTCGGCGGGAGAAGGCGAGGGTCACTACGCTGTCGTCTTGTTGTCCCAAGATGCACACATTTAGATAAACGGACACCAAAAAAATCCCCACCTGACCTTCCCACCAAGCCTGAAGTTTCCAGTAATGTAACTAAGTTTCCAGTAATGTAACTAAATATATCAAAAAAATGCAATGATTTAAAAAATAGATTCCAATTAAGCAAACACGAGAAATATGTTGGTGCACCTACGTCTCTTTCTCCTTGCATAAGTTTCCCGCCCAGGATACACTGCATGATTAAGTAAATCAGGGCGAAATACCCAGCCGTAAACCGGAATAGTTTCATGTCGCTGCTAGCACCGGATTTAGGTCCGCATAATATGAAGAAAAATCCGAAATATTCTTGCTCAAATTGGGTCAGCCATGAAGATCTTGATGGGTTAATTTCGTCCCCGGTGGAGAATGATGGAGTCACAGTGTCGAATTCATCATAATCTTGAGAAACAGAATCAGAAGGTGTGGCAGCATTTATGTCGAAATCTTTTGCAACTACGACGTATGCGGCGGAAAATATGAACGAAGCTGGGATGAGGATTATTATAAACTGAAAAAATATAAACACACTAGCATTTTCAGGTTAGATACACTCTAAATATTATTTTTGCAAAATATTGTCTCCTAAATATGCGACTGTACCGTTTTGGTGATATGAAATTATCACTTTGAGGTAACATAAATACGGAGGCAAAATCCTATCTGGTCCTGATTTTAAATGCTCTGGTAACAAAAATGTCACCGGCTCGGCTTACATATAACTTGTTGCTGAAACGTTGGTCAATTATTTTTGTAAATGTTATTACCCACGGTAGAGTCACATAGTGCCGGGGAAAAATTTTTCTGTCACCCGGTTAATTAGAGTTTCCATGATAAGAACTTATCTAAATATGTAGGAATTTATTCACGTACCCAGTACAAGACGGAGATGACAGCAACCCTTCCCCGCTATGAAAAATGTACGTGGGGTTCGACAGATTCATGCCCTTCCTCGGTAAGGGAATACTCTCCAATCCGTATTTTTGATGGGGGTGGTAGATTTGCCTCCATTTTTCCACTTGTGCGATACGAATTCAGTAAATACAAATTTTAAGAATTGCTAACTTAACCTAACCCAATTCAAACAGCTCTTTCTTTCCTTGATGAAGTATTATTAATGGATCCAGCGGTACTAATCAATTACGTTACATATGTATGCATCGTATCTTTCTACCAACTCAAAAATCGTTAAGACAGATAATACGTTTTGTATTTGAAGAGTTTTCCGTCAAAATGAAACCAGCCGAGATGCACTGTATTGTATCTGCTCTGGTCGGGTGGTGGATTAGAATTACGTAGCAAACCACCATACCATACCCCTGACAGTGATTAAACCAACTGAAATGAGACTGAATAGATGGGGGCCATTCATATATTACGTCATCAAAATCTCTCAATTTCTCACCCACCCGACATGAACGTTAAGGTATAGGGAATTTCAACATGGGAAAGATACGAAGACCAAAACTATCCACCCAGCAATATCATGACATAATTTATGAACGTTCCCATGGGCGATCTGAAGAAAAAGACTGACTCGCACTGCCAAAGGCGTTAAGTACTTGAATAGCCGTGTATAAAAGACGATCGAGTGTGGAACCACGTCGTATTTCTTGGTAAAAATTTTTTTATGGGCTCCTCTTACTAAGAAATCTTACCCCTAAATATGTAATGTTGCAAAAAATTAGAACCTGCTCAATGTACGTGCATATTACGTTTTTGCAATGCTATGCTTACGCATAGCATTGCAAAAACGTAATACACGTGTATGTATGTAGAGGTTTGCATGCAATTTAATACATGCCTGCATATTTATTTCGCAAAATATTGGTTGCTTGGTGGCCATAGTATGAGCGTACGTAGTTATATCAGTATGTACTATCCTCGTATTTAGGCGTTTCACCTGATTTACATAAATCGAACTTGTAAATCAATCTACGTGTTATGGATCATGTTGCTAATTGGTTTCTCTATCCTCATAATATTATTTATTAAGGGGTGCAAACCCCTTTATGGGAATGTCTTGTCCGTCTGTCTGTCTGTCCGTCTGTCCGTCTATCTCCTCGATAACGTTAGAACGGATGCGAATTTCGACATGCGGTTTTCGCCAAAGTATTTCTAATTTTTGAAGTACGCACGAGTTCGAAGATGGGAGTTGTAGCTCATAAGGTCATGTCGCCACAGTGATGACGCCAATGGTCAAACGTGTAGAATTCTTTGTTTCCACCGTTTTAGACGTATTTTTGGACGAGGATTTCAGAAATCGCCATCATTTCGACATGCAGTGACCGTGTGACCGTGTAGACGACGCCAAAGTCGAAAATTGTAGAATTCTTTGTATCCACCGTTTTAGACGTAGTTTTGGACGGGGATTTCAGAAATCGCCATCATTTCGTCGTGCGATGGCCGTGTGACCGTGTCACTTCACCCCTTTGCTACATTTCGTGTGCAACGGTTTATTTAGAGTGTAATTTTGTAAAAAAAACAATGCAAATATATCTACATAAATGTATGTTACAAATAAGCAAATATTTACCTCTGAAAAATAAGTAAATTAGTTAAACGCCATCGCAAGATGCATAGGCTTACAAACTCATCCTTTCATTAAAAACTACTAATGTTAATTTGGTTAAATCCATTTCAGGTTTAGAATTGGAAACAATAGATATTTTAGGCTGAATAAATATAAAAGTGATTCCTTGGAAAATTAGAATCTCAATACCCCAGCTTTTGACATTATAATTTTGTCTAATTTTTTCCACTCTAAGATTATCTTAATTTGCTGAACCGGCAATTTCAAATAGTTTCCAGCCACCTCTATCTCCTCGAGAGTCATTCGGGCTGAGGTTACGACGCGTCCCAAATATTGGACGTGTTTCTAAAAAAAATAGAAAATATTTGCACGAAACTTGTTAGTTTTCTGAGCTTATGTATGTACGTAGGTTAAAATGTGTTTAAAATTTAATTCAAGACTGATCTATTCGTCAGTGTCAAAGGTACTGAATTATAGTCAACTACTTAATAATAGAGAATTTAATACCGTCCCGGAGTATATTATAATATGCAGCAATAATTATTAATTTCATTTTCCTTTTGTAGATATACAATCATTAGGAGTTATAATTAAACCTTTGGTAAATGTCACAAAGTAATAAGAATAGGATAGGATAGGATGGTTTTATTCAAACAAGATCGATATGGCGTTAGCCTTTACAATCAGACATCATTTAAATCTTATAGAAATTATACAATTTCATACATACATAATCTTATCATAAACAAATTAAATTAGTCTGTCAGCCAAAGTATGTACACTGTTGTGGGCATTATCCACAAGTAGGAAACGGCATCCCGATACAGGCAGTGTACACACCATGTCTGAAGACATAAATAATAATAATAATAATAATATGCATGCATATCTATGCAGGTATGAGTGAAACAAAACCAGTGTTTCAAAAAAATTAATGGTATTCACAAAAATTATACAAAATGTTTAGCCGAGTATACTAAATACTTATTTCTACTTTGAATTTTGGTATCAGCAAAATCCGCTAGTTTGCTTTCGTAAAGAATTACGGATTATTTCATAAGAAATATTTAAGAATTTTAGCAAAGTTTCAGAAAATCTGGTATGTGGTAACCCAATAAATAATACGAAGTATTTATTTTCAATCATCTCACTTCCCGCAGTCGAAGTAATTTCACAATAATAATAAATTGGAGTTTCTATTTTGCATACCTCCATCAAAACAATCCTGGTAAAACATCGATATATTTGAAAGAATTAAAATCGTCTTCCTTAACGCTCGCATTACTACCTTAAACTACTTACACCAATTTACCGTTAGTTAATAAACTACAACTAGTTGTAGGTTTGGTGCATGTGAAACTGATGGTTTGTTAGAAAATGTATCAAAATGTATCAGTGTTGCGTGTAGCAAATCTATGTAATGTTCTTGCGTAAATCGGATGGGTGCATCCGATTTGCATAAGAACTCGGGGATACAAGAGGAGAGACCAAAATAGAATTTTGGGCTCTCCTCTCTCCCGAAATGCGAAAAGAGAGTCAGTCGTAGTTTAGAGTAGATTAAGAGTAGTATAAGTAGTTAAGTTACGGTAGTTTAGGTTAGATTTAGTTAAGTTCGTAAGAAATAAAGCTTGGGCATTTTCTAGCCCTACCTTTGGTAAAAGATTAAAGTGCTTGTGGAATTTATTGGAGCTACCAGGAACCAATATCGGTTACAAATGGCGCCTGGTCGGTAAGTATCCCAATTTATTTCTGGATTTCTGGATATTTATTACTCCAGATATTTTTGTTCTCCCGTGCAGTTGGTTTGTTTTAGAGCTCAGATTGACGATATCCCAATTCTTTTTCGAGCTGACACTTTTTAGATGCGATTACATATATTTTCACCATATTTGTCGCTTAGTTACGTATTTCTGCTAGTTAGTGTATAAAATACATACCATCCGACATACATATGTAGACCCTCATATCTAAACTTAGAAATCCGGGTATCATTCAAGTAGCTCAAATTGAACATGCTCCAGTTTTTTTACCCTTTTCCGTGCACACATATGTACCAATGATCTTACTAATTCTACCCGTCTACATGGATATGCAGACCGCTAATTCCTTTGCTCACAATTCTGATCGTAGGGGATCTCCGGTCAGAATTTCCACTCCTCCCCTTTTCCACACAGAAATTTACACAAACATTTCACACATTGGTACATTCAAAAAAAAGAGGATGCGATTGTACGATGCAATTTCCAGCTTTTCTGCTAACACATATCTTACATACATATCTTTCTCGGTTTCAGGGGCGTAGCCAGGATTGGGTCCTGGGGGGGGCTCAGCCGGAAAAATATATTTTACCTAAGTATATGGGCCTTTTTAACTTTAAGATTTCTACGTGCAATTACCTAGCGGTTCATACCATTTTAAGCACAACATTTTAACACAGAATAAATATATAAGCACATCTAGTTTAGCACTAGGTATGTATTAAATACCAAAAACTTTTGCATGCACATAAACTTCTAATTGATCGTGTTGCAGTCGGAGAACCATAATTCCTGTTCCGTCTTGACTTCCTTCCATAAACTCTAATTTGGCTGTTCCTATAGCGTAACTTGGCCATTATATTTACTTGAGTTGCAGCAAGACTTCTTCGACTTCGCGAAGGCGTGATTTTTCAAAAATATTTGGCGTGAACTGCGAATAAATGTATAATTCTAATGCTGTTTTAACATTGATAGCAGTCTGGGAACGGAATATTTAAAGCTTATTTACATGTACGTAATTTCATGATGGTTAACAAAAAACGTGATCCAGTTGTTTGCCAGTTTCTCGAAAATTGTGATTAAATTAACTATATTTCTTGAACTTTGCTTAGTTTTTTCTTAAATTCTAAAATAATTTATAAGTGAGACTACGTTTGTAATTTGGAAAGAAGTTCTTAAACAGAATGTTGTTCTTCCTGAAACGAAACTTTAAATTTGCGAAGTGACTTTACCTTGTTGCCTCAAAAAATTCGCAATTTCGAAAAAGTTACGTTGCTATGCCAATATGCGAACTCGAAATGAATACACTCGTTGGTTGCTTCATATTTATATTTTCAAGCTTCAAAAGGGTTAGGAAATCTCTATTTGTAGTCCAAATTAATATTTCCATGCTTCGCACCAACCAGATTTTGCAATGAAGTATGTAAAAGTTATTTTGTTAAGCACGTCAAAAACTGGAAATTTTCAACCTCTTTTGAAATGAGAAAAAAATCAACTTAGCAGACAATTGGAAAAATGCGTTAAAAGAGCAGCAAGGAGATTTTGTCTTATTGTCATGTAAGTATAAATTTCAATTTATGAAATTTCCGCTAATGTTATTTACAATAAGAAACAACAATTAAAACAGTTTTTGTTGCAATTGATAGAAGTAGAACTTTTAAATTTTGTTAGAATTTAAAAAACGAAAATTGACAAAATATTCCACATTTTGACAATATTTTAATAGCAAGTTTTATTAAACTTGCAAATTTTTGCGTATTCATAATAAAAATGAAATTACGGAAAGGAAAATAACTTTTAAACATTTCATCATTCCAACGGCAGTGCTATATGCTAAAAAAATCATTTTAGTTTTTTAGTACAGCTCTTGTCAAATATTTCGCAAAAACATTATTTTGCATGGCATTTTCTATGTGAAAGTTTAGCTGCACGAAATCATAGCTCAGGATGGTCCTCAGTTAGGACAATACGAACAAAAATCAGGATGGGACAGTGCTTCCCCGAGTAGAAATCACTATGTCGAATTCTGCAGGAATCAACAAAAACCCTATGCATATTGCATTATGCATAATTTTTTTTGTATAATCCTGCAGGAAATTTCTGTCCATTTTTTCTGCAGAAACATATTTGCATAATTCTGCATAGTTCTGCACAATTTCTGCAGAAATCATTATGCATACACTTTTTCTGCAGAATATTGGGGCAATTTTCTGCAGGAAAATAGTTGAAATTTTTACTCGGGTCGCTGGTACGCTTTTTGTATTTAACTCGTGCTGATAGTTTGTTTAGCTTGAGACAAATTTTAGCATCACTTAATATGTTTACTGAGGGTCCGGCGAGATTATAGAACGTGTCGCTGATCTTAAATTTTGGGCGAAATATGCTTTGCGGAATATTCTAGGTTCTCTCATCGTGTTCCTCACCCTTTTTTTGATAAAGAGTGAAGTTATGATTTCTGGTTAGGTTAGGTTAGGTTAGGTTAGAAAGCGAAGATTTAAAGGCCGATAGCAGAGTTTTCCAAAATCACTTTTCATTTGAAAGTCTGCCAAACTCTTAAAAAAATTTTTGATGGAAATTTTAAGTGTAGATTTGACATTTCTCATCAAAGATAAAATAGGGGGGGCATAAGTGGATGTAACAAGGTTACTTTTACGAAATAATTTAAATCTTTTATATTAAAAAAATGTTCGAGATCTGGATGGTGATCCTAACAAAAAGTTTGTGGTTCGTGAACTTTCGCACTCCTAAATGTCTTAATCGACAGATTTTGATGAATCATCTGGCCTATTATTAGTCGGGAGACTTGGTGCGTCACGGTTCACTTTTGTGACAAGTGTCGCACCATGCGGGGAGTGATCGTTGGGCGACTATGGACGTCGTAGTTCTGCAGTCTTGTGCCTTTCTCTAGTTGAGTTCTTTATTATAATAATGGACCTTATGGAAAGTCTTATTTTTTGAAATTGAATGTTTTCCAATAAATTTGTAGGGGTCATTTTGGCTTCGCACCGAATACTTATCTCAGATGCTGCGAAATCTTTCATCGCATGGAACCATTTGGGGTTAATTTTTGGACCCGTTTTCAAATTTTCGAAATTGAGAGAGTGAGTTCGCAATGCAGCTTGAACCGAAGTTTCTGAAAAGTTTCAAATATTAGGAATTACCGCCATTGTTTCATGTAATTATGCAAAATAGCTACACATTATAATCTCGCCAGCCCCTGTATTTTAGTTTCTTAATGTGGGTGGAACGAACATACCTATATTGTTTATGTATTTTAATATATAAGCTAATAAGGAGCAGCATAATTGAGATTGATTTTTGAGATGGGGAAACTACAAGTGACAAAAACTACATCAAAATTCGGATTTGGAAAAACCGCAAGCAATTGTTACGTAACAATTTGCCGACATAAAACGGGATAATACGACTTTAATCTCGAAAGTAAAGACAATCGCTTATTAATACATCTGCTCACATTTATACCTTCAATTTGTGAACTAATAGTTTTTTAATTTTTAAATTTTATTTATATTTTTATTTTCTTATTTTATTTTGTTTTATTTTATTTTACTTTTTTCCGGCTCTGGGGGGGGGGCTCAAGCCCCCCTAGCCCCCCCTTGGCTACGCCACTGCTCGGTTTCTAGCCTTTATGTACATATGTCCTGCACATTTGGATTTCTAAACCTCAATTGTATGTGGTAAACAAGTTTATGTAGACAGGGTTCCGTGGTTAATTATGCTTGGACATTAATTCAAAATTGTCTTGCTAGTAAATATATCATAGTGCGGTTCTATATTTTATGATTTATACGATTAATAATTGTATTTTTGTTCTTCCAGAAAAGGCAAAATGGCTAGTACAAGTTGAAACTCCATGAAAGGTTGAATTTCACTACTATTATTTGCAAACAGGAATAAATAAATAATGGAACAAGGGATATAAAATGAAAAAGAAAACAGACAAAGAATACGCTCACAAATGTGGCTCATAAATAAATAACGAATGAATATAAAAAATAAAAAATAAAATAAAATAAATGAATATTCAAGTATTTCGTACAATTTCGTGCAGAGGTCGACGCCGCCGATCTCACGCCGCCGCGCCGCCGATCTCACGCCGCCGCGCCGCCGAACGCCGGTAGTATTTTAGGCGCCGCCGCCGCCGAAAAATTTGATTCCTATTCCTTCAACATTGGGACGCCGCGCCGCGCCGCCGCGCCGCCGAAAAATCCCCAAAAATTGGCGCCACCGCCGCCGAAAATTTGTCGGCGTCGACCTCTGATTTCGTGCATTTTCAATTTTTTTATTTTTATGCAGTGAGGGTTCCATTGTTCGTTATTTTTTCAGTACATGTAAGTTCGTAACATTTAAAAATATCTCGTAAATTGATAATATTTCAGTTCGGTTATTTTCCAGACATGGAAAATATCTGAAAATGAATATATGGAGTTGACACGACAAAGGATGTCAGGGTTTTTGAAATTATAAAATCTTGATAGGTTGTCAGTACAGTTACTTTGTTTACGTCAAAAAATTAAATTTAGCCTAAATTACGAGTACATAACTGAGGATGAGTTTTTGACATGTTTTTAGCAGTAATAGTGAATATTTTTTCCCCCAAAAAAAAAACACGAAAAGCAAATATTTACTTTCAGAGGGCTGAATTTAAAAATTCCCAATTATGGGTTAAAAACGGAAATACGGATACTGAGCAAAAATGAATATAATGAAATAACACATACAAATGAATGAAATAAATACAAATAAATGAAATAAATACAAAGGAACTGAAAAGAAATGACATACATGCAAAATAACTTAAAATAAATGAAATAAATACAAATAACAATTAAACGAAATGAAATATATACAAATGAACTGAAACGCGTTGGAGGAATATTTTCAATGCCTGGTAGGTAACCCAGGGTTGAAAAAACAAATTAAAAAAGTTGAAGAATTGGAAGGCAGATCCCGAGTTTTCGTCGGAACTGCAATCCACTCGCCTCATATGGGGGGAGGGGGATATTGTTGGTCAGCGATGCCTGGTAGTGGCCAAAACCCAGGGTCGAAAGCTATGATACAAGATTCATAGTAGGGCAAACTTCTCGCTTCTTATTAGAGGTGGAGGGGGTGTCGTTCGACGATCGACACATTTTTAAGAGAAAACGGATAAATTTAAGGAGTAAGAAAATATAAAAAGGCTTTGAAACAATTGCCGAGTGCACAGGCATTTGTTGCATTCCCTCAATGATGCATGGTTTGAGTTTAATTATTTTTTAAAGTTGAAATTACGGTTTATGCTTGAAATTGAAAATGTGTACCGGCGATTTGTTTCACTTCATTATAACCTTTCTTCTCTGAATTTGGTTTATTGAATGATTTTATTACCATATTTACTAATCAAATTCGACTACTCCAGGTTGAAATTGTGTTGGGAGAATTGATCACTTTCCCTCACACTTTTGACTTGTTGATATGTGCATCAACATATGGAACACGTTGGGTGTGCACCCACTCCCAATGCGTTTTCACTGTGAATGAAAATTTTGCAGTTTTCTTAAATCGTTCTACGGAATATTTCATACATTACGTTTGTAAGTTACCATTTATTAGAAATTTTAATAATACTACCTCAAATGTCATGTTTCAATATGACTGTTTAAATTTTCTGTTACCACTATTTCTGTACTACTGGAATATGTATGTATTTGGTAAGAAAAAAAAACTAAGATTTCAATTACTCTCTGTCTATGTCAATTTATTTGTCATTCACAAATTATTTACGTGTTTCTAATAATTATTAATTATTTTATCAATTTAAGTGACTAATTTTTATGACTCCCATAAATTTTGAGTATTCTCCGTCTTCAGTAAATCAATTTAATTCATTATGTGCAGATGCATTATATGTATGTATGTATATATTATACGCTATGCACTTTTACGATTTGATTGTAAGCCGTTTTATGTAATCACTATATTGACAAACAAACACAACATTCACACACTAAAGATGTCTCAATTACTGCTCTTGCAGTTCAAAATTTACATGCAATTGGCAAGTACGCAAATTGAAATCATATGTAAAGCCACGCTAAATTATGTGTATTGCCCAGTCACCTCATTATTCTTGACTTCTGTATTATTTGATGCGATAATTTAATCTATCTAGTGTGTATGGATCAAGACGTACTCGGCCTACGTTTTATTTCGTCCAATATATCTATTTCTACAATTTTGATGGGACAATCCAGGCGTTTCCGTACAAAACATCTGGGGCCATCATCTCTACACGAATATTTTGGCGACTTGCTACATAGCCTTGTTACAACGGATTTTTCTTCCTCACTTTCGCTCATCCTCACGTCGTCCCGTGGACTTTATTTTAACGGAGGGAGGAACATGTGACTTCTTCGCCTTTAAATCGCCTTCTGACAACATTTTGTTAAATTGTTCGTCGTATGGTCGCCTACGTAACTTTCTTCGAACTGATGAAATTATGTATTTGAAATCATGCTATTTGATATTATATGATTGTATTTTCATTCATGTATGAGACTGATACATTATGGTCGTGTTTGTTTTCAATTTGTTTAAATTATAGACGTATCTAATCTGCAGTTTGGGTTAAGCTGGATTTAGATATTATTATTGTCTTCCTTTATGTATGTTAAATGGAAATATTTTGGATAATTTTTGGAGATCAAAATTGTACAATTCAAGAATCCCAACCGGTGTCCAGATTGAATTAATGCAAAAAGTACTGTTATTCTAACATGTTAAGTTTCTTGACCATTCTTGGGCATACCATACCAAGAAAATTAACTTTCAACTTGAACGTCTACAAAGAAATGATGACGAAGAAATGAAGCTTAAATTTCGGATAATTTAAACTAAATAATTCAGGTTTTTATACTAACTTTACTAACCCATTAGTTACAATAATGAGCTTGAAGGGACCAAGCTCACAATTAGAAAGAGGGAATGTTGCGTGTAGCAAATCTATGTAATGTTCTCGCGTAAATCGGATGGGTGCATCCGATTTGCATAAGAACTCGGGGATACAAGAGGAGAGACCAAAATAGAATTTTGGGCTCTCCTCTCTCCCGAAATGCGAAAAGAGAGTCAGTCGTAGTTTAGAGTAGATTAAGAGTAGTATAAGTAGTTAAGTTACGGTAGTTTAGGTTAGATTTAGTTAAGTTCGTAAGAAATAAAGCTTGGGCATTTTCTAGCCCTACCTTTGGTAAAAGATTAAAGTGCTTGTGGAATTTATTGGAGCTACCAGGATTGGCGCCTGGTTTTTGTGCTATAAAATAATCCCAATTGTGGTTTTTTTGTTGGAAACTTGGATTCAATTGTAAGTTTATTGCTTTATGTACTTTGCTGGCACTTCTTCGATGTATGTTCACATACATTTAGGGATGACTGAATATCCGTATAAATGTTCACAGATTTTTGCACATTTGTCGGGATGGAGTAAAGTGGATATATTTCCGTGGGTTTCTTCCCCAAAGTTTGTTATATTCCTGGAAAGTTTGTTCAAAGGAATCCAGAGGAACAGTAGTTGTCGCAATAGATGCATTTAGAAAAGAAGGAGGTAAAGAGGTTGGGTGGTTACCAGGATGGATAATCACAGTCGGAAATGCGCGGGGCAAAATGGGTCTAACCGATGGCTGAAGCCGGCGTGAGCGAAAATGCTGACGAGCGTCCTCAAATTGAGAGGCGGGATTTGGGGCATGCAATTGAACAGATGAAACCGCAGTAGTCGAGATATGTTCCTCGGAAGATGCTGGTGAAGGGGAAGAAGACGGTGTCGGTTCAGGTCGATTGCGTGAAGAACTATACCGATTTAGTAGACTTTGAATTTCAAGGCTACGTGATTTGGAAAGAGAAAGAGGAGTATTAGTGAGACCTTGTTGATAATCATTGAGGCGTTGGGAAACATAGTTCAAATTATTCTGAAGATAGTTTTCAACGGTGCATAAAGGAGAAAAACGATTATTATGTCGAATTTGGTTATTGTCTTCACAATGATTATTCAGACCTTTAAGTAGGTAATCCTGGGTCTTTGTAAATGTAAAATTTATGCGAAAAAAGATTGGCGTAGTTTCCTCAAATAAACATCCTCAATCCTGCGTTCTGCGAATTATAGCATTATGCCAATAAAGCCTCCGTATTAACTGTATCATACTAAAAAAGTCCATCTAAACAAGTTTATGTACATCTCGTGATTAAAGCATGCAACATTTTTCTTCTTAATAAAACGTATGTATTTTACATATGAATGTACTTCCCGTAAACAGGGTACTTAAAAAATAAGTATGTATATCATTTTCTTATTTGTTCCCATGTTTTACATGAACCAGAGCCTCGAGCTCAATTTTTGCCAAATAGTCGTTCGAAAATAATGCACAGCCAAAATCATCACCGCCATCACCAGTACTACTGCCAACACAATCGACAAATTGGACACCTCATCATTCGTTTCTTTCAAATGGGAATTTGATATTTCAAGAGGAGGAGAAACTGTCCAGGAAATATTGACATCTGCAACACCACTTTCACCAAAGTCAACATCTTCTTCATGCGGGGTTCCCATGCCGTTCTCACCAACAACAATTCCATCTTTATCCTCAGCGGTATCGTCATCCAAAATTACCGTCGTCAGATTGGTACTTTCCTTTTCCTGCTCAACGGCATCGTCATCAACAAGGATGGTCTGGTTCATCGCTAAAGTAATTATTTGACGATGATTTTCCTAAGGAAATTGTAATACGAATGTATGAATATCATATCTACGCTAAATTTGTAAATTTGTTTAATTTACCATATCCGTCCAATTGGAAATATACGCCGTATAATTAATACAAATATTGTTAGCCGCACTCTGCAGCAAACACCACGGAAGTTGAGCTAAAAACAAAATTCAAATAGTTTAAATAAATATATATATATATACATAAAAAACTATACGATTTATGTGCATTCAAGAAGATATGTGTCAAACAGATATAATTACCTCGGTAGCCGCATCCTATGTCTTTGGTTCGAAAACGAGCAAGCAGGAGGGTATGAGTGCAATATTTTTCGGCCCCAATAAAATGTAAGGCAAAAAATGGTAAGCGGTATTTCCATCAGCGTTTTCTGATGGAAATTTCTGGCAGGGTACACACTCTTGCTTCACACCACGAATAATGAATAAATTAATTCCTGTTTGTGTGCAGGTTTTGCAGTGTATTTGCTCTTCGGGAGATAAAATTGTTAATGAATTTTTAAACTTATCTAAACAAGTGAAATTGTATCCGTAACTGATACAAAAAAGACCCAAAATAAAACCTCCCAAAATTATAATTTTAGTCAGTGTGAATCCAAAAATTGTAATTTCAATATACGCCCCTCCTTTGTGATCTGTCTCGTATGAGAAATGAGTCATTTTACATCGCATTTATTTGACTAGTACATTATTCTATTTTAGCATAGTAAGATAAAGTAACCTAATTAATTCATTAATCATAGGCATAATCTGGTTAAATTACAACATTCGAAATATGATCTAAGAGCTTGAGAGACCAAGCAAAGTTTAACGAGGGAAATGTCACGGAATGCATTTATGCACAATGAGATGGGTGCATCTTATTGTGCAGAAAACACAGCTAGGAGTAGAAAGAGAGAGAGGATCAAAAATAGAGAATAGAAATATAACTCGTAACGGTGTTGATTAGTATACTGTCTCTGTGTGACTTACACCGTGTGAGGAGGTGATTTAAAAACTATAACACGTTTCTCGTCTTCAAGCTTTCAACAGTTTCACATTTGGGGAGTGAATGTTAAAAACAGAAAAATTGACTACAATTTTGCAAAGGTTTTTTTTGTTACAATAATTATCAGTATGGATTGGAGAAGTATTTGCATGATTAATAAAATGTTTATTTAAATGTGCGGCGTCATAGTAATTTGCATGATTATTATTAGTCCATTTAGTTCCACATTACATGGTTCTGCAAACCCGGTTTGGCTCGTAAGGCGTGAGCTGTTTTTTCTTTGACCAAGATGACGTTCCATTGACGAACCATTTCTCTAGGAGTTGTTCTAAATATCGCTGCTTAGCTAGTTTGTAGGTCCTGAAAGTATAAAGTCAGTTAAAGTTTTGCAAATTCAACTTGTACTTGACGGTTTGAAATGAGCGGTCTGATAAATTAACGCTATTTCAATTTACATAAGGTCAAACTACCAAATAATTTCGGATGCGAGAGGAAACCCGAACGCGAAGTTGGTAGCACTGATAGTGTTATGTACAAATATGGCCGAAAATCTCATAACCTTTGCGAGTTTTTATTTTAAATATACTTTTGTGGTGTTCAATTTAATACATTATTCGCAACTATTGCCATAATCCCAGTCTTCCACGTGGGAGGATTAGTACTCGAGTCCAGTGACCCTATCGAAGACACTTCCGTAATTGTGCAATTATTCATATTTCTCATGTCTTGGTCAATTTTGCGAATTAGGTCGACTAGGAATCCAGAGTAGCAAGAACTATTTCGACACGATTTATTCACACTGGATTATTTTAAGCAGGTCTCGTTCTTAATAACCCAGGGATGATCCTGAAGTAATTTATGCATTAATAATTGTATAACGAAATTTACTCAATTACCTCGATTGTGACAATGTTGTGGATTTGAATAATTTCTGGAATTATACAACATTTAAAAATATTTCAAATATTTATCACATAGTCCATGAACGAACCTGCGCATAAGAATTGCTTGCCACGTAGACGGATCGCGTGGCCGGGTTGGCATTGACAGATGCCATCAATGCAGGATGTGTTGGTATATTTGCATTTGTCCTTCAAAGTACAACGTTCATTGTAATCAATGCCCCCATTCGTGACCGTAGCTTTGTTTGGACTTCCTGCTGAAAAAGTTTATAGTCAATTAAAAATTAGTTTTAAAATGCTAAAAATTTATTAGAACGAATCTAATTATATATGCTTATCTTACAACATAACAGACTGATTACATACATAGGGAATTACAACTTGATAAATTGAGCAGAAAAAGTTGCTTATTTTGTATTGATAATTCCATTCTTTTCGCTCATTTTTGTGTTTCGAAAAATCACCCAAAAAGTCTATTTATTAAAGAAAAAGGGCAGAAGCTATATTTGAAACACTGGTTAATCAATACATTTAATGTATGGATTGGCGCTAATTAAATTTGCGGAGTAACCCCAGAATCTAAAAAATTGCGTTTACTCGTATAAAATTTGTTTTCACAAACCTGCTTCATATTGTAGTCCGAAGATAAGGAGGAATACTGTCGAAAAGGTGATAAAATGTTCCATATTCTGCTCCTCTTCAATTCGTTACCATTTGTAGACTGACGAATTTAGTTAAACCAAAGAAGTCATTTTGTAGCGTGATAAATCATGTAGCGTGATTAATGGATGCGTTATAAGCTGAATTGGAAAATTCAGAGATTTCCAAGATTAGCATCACATTATGTTTAAATCTATTGTCCGATCAGACTTGCGTACCTACTAAATGTACTAGTTCCTCTATTTAATTTGTCCATGTTTAGAATATATTAAATATATTTCTATATGAAAAATAGATTTCATTATTTTATTTTTCATATGTGGTTAATAATAAATCATGCACCTTTCCCAAAATTCAATGGATTGCAATAACTTATGTTCATGCTTAGTGAAATGTTGCGTGGGAGGAATTTAACACAAAATTATCATATTCGTTAAATATTAATATTTAGTATTATGCACTTTGCCAACTAAATAATAAATTAGAAACGATAAAGAATTTTTAGAACGTGATGAATTACTAACTTTGGTAAATAACTTGAAATTTTAAGAATGCATAATTCTTCGAAGTAGCCATGACAACGGGTTAAGTCAATCATTGCCTTTAAGCGGATTTAAAACTTTAAAGCTACCAATTACACACATTTGTGTAATATTTTTTACTCTGTTGCCTACCAATTACACATACATATATGCGTAGCGAAATTAATTCCGTTGCTTACCATTTACACACATGTGTGCACTGCATAAATTCCCTTGACACCAAGGATACTCAAAACTTCAATGTTCGAGTTTTTCTTTGTTTTTTTATCAAAAAATGGTGAAAAGTGGATTTTTTGGTAGTTTTGCTTGGCAAATGTTGGAACTTTGCCTATATCAACCATGCTAAAAAGTTGACTTCAAAACCCGCATGTTTCCACGAAATATTTGGGAGTTTAGTAAATGCGTAAACAAATGTTTGGTAGGCCGAGCAGAATGTGGAGTATGAAGTATCTTTTTGGTTCTAGTCGTTTGTCTATAAGATATTCTCAACAC